CAGTTCCAAAACCTCGCTTTTCTGAAGCCTCATATTTCCATCTATAAAGCATATTGCTCTATTTATAAATCTAGTGATTTTTATCTAAACAGAAAGACAGTCTCTCTTGCTTATCACAGGGAGGTTAAGGAATCTTAGACAGTAAGACCTATTTACAAACTCAGTTAAATCTCCCTACACATTTGAAATGCCTTGCTACATTTCACTTACTTGATTTTTAAGTGCTGACAGGGCAGGTTTAAACCCTGACAGGCAAAACGTTAACAATTAATTTTTGTAAATCTAAGAAATGTACAAATATAGAAAAATTCAAGTTCTCTTAGACAATTCCAACTCTTTACAAATGGTGTCAAACATAGCTTGACTCCTGAAACTTAAAATCGTAAGACTAAAATCGGTTAAACGCTTTAAATCGAAGCCACATGGCCAATCTGTCAGTATTCGTAAAACACCAGAGACCCTGAAACATGGAAAACACTGAGATTAGCCTCAATTTATCCCCCAGGTAATTACTGCTGTGGGCGTTTGTTCTCCTTTATTACATTTAATGATATTTCTTTTGTCTCCACCTGCCCCATTAGGAGGATGGGTGCAGACGTGCAGGCTCAGAAGGGCTGATGACACAGGCTAAACGCTGGGACCTCAGTGTGGGTGCCAGCTGCTTAGAGATCTGAGACCCGCACATAGCATCTGAGCTACGCTTGCTTCTGGGAGTCTTACCTGATCCAGACGCAACTTTACAGCTCAAGGTCAACAGGCTTCAACTGAGTCTAGTGTTGCAACATCCTTAATCTCCTCATATTTCTTCCGTACCAGACCCGGGCGGAGAGAATGTGCACATCATCCCCCCCCACCCCCACCCCCTTCAGAGCCTCCTCCTCGAACTTCGAGCACATTCCAACAACAGCGCTCCCAAAAGCCCAGCCATTCCGTTTGTATCTCTAGCAATTTTAACAATAATCTAAGAACACCTCTGTGGCCATTTTGCAGATGAGGAGAATAAGGGTTGGAGACATTAGTTAATTTGTCAATATAAATGAAAGGCTTGGAGTTTCTTCCAAGACCTGTCCAGTGTCCACATCAGCAAACTGCAGGCTGAATTCTTTCCATCATTCGGTTTCATGTTTTTTCTGTCTCAGATCTCCTGTCGTTATCGGCAGCCTTCCTGAAATATCGTTCTACCTGACAACGTCATACTTGAAACTCTTTGTACTTCCTCAAAGCAAAAAACTAAGAGCTTTAAAATCAAGGTAATGACAGCAGGTCTGACGGTGCTAAAGAAATTTGACACAGAAAACCAAATGTCAGGAGAACGGATGATGTTGTTTAAATTCTATAATGAGAAGCGACTTTATACACATCCTTTCCATCACTGCCTTTTATATTGACTCCTAACTTCTTTTGCTTAGAAAATTATGAGAAAAAATAACCTGACTTTAGTTTTATAGGATGATGATAAATATCCCACTGGACTATATAGGCTATGAATTTGGCAAAAAAAAAATGTAATCAAAGGTTTTTAAGGGCTCCGAATGATTTTATTTTGATCATTATGAACTGTACTTTATGTAACACTGTATTTCTTTTTCTTGCAGGCAGATAAGCTTAAAGAACTTAAGCGAGGTAAGTAGAAACTTTGTCCTAGGAAAAGAGAGACATGTTTGTGCCTTAAGTGTCTGCAGTGGGCAAGATACTACTTGCTTCGGATCCTCATACATCACAATTATCGGAATAGCTATGCTCAATAAATATTATCAGCCCTATTTTAAAGGTGAGAAAGCTAACGCAAAACCAGGTCCAGATTTTAAGCCAAGATCCTGTCTTGCCACCATATTTAGGTGAGCATTTTGCCACCAAACTGGTACCAGGAGGAGAAGAGCATGCCTCGTCCCCACAGAAGACAAAGTCTTCTCCCGTGGCACCACAGAAATCAAGTGTGCAAATCTGTATCACACCTTGCCGTTTGTTCTTCACAAGAAAGACACCACTGCAACGTAGAAGAAACATAAGCTACGGAGTCACACAGACGTGCGTTTGAATCCTGCTCTGCCACCTCCTACTTCTGTGAACTTTGGCACATCTCCCCTTCCCCGCTCCACCCCGGTTTCTGTCTTCCCGGCTGTTCAATGGAGATGGGCACACTCCAAAATCAAAGTAAACACGTAAATGAGGTGAGCAGTAGAGGCTCAGTATATGGCGCAAAAGCCGGGTAAGGTGGACACGTCTTAGAGCCCCATTAGATGTTTACTTCCTTAAACCCTCAAAGAGGAAGTTCCTTAAGGTGGAGGGCGCCCCGTGACTGGTGAGATGTCTGCGCCCAACGGCCGACTTAAGGGATTCGGTCCTCGTCTTAGGATCTGGCCGATGCTCTCACATCTAAACTGCAGAGGTGGATTTTTCTTGCTTTAATGGCGTTAGGAGAATGTGAAAACCAAAAGTCACATTTCTAGCTTGTGACTCAAACCAGATATTTATCACCTCTCATCCATAAGACAGTCGTGTCAAAGAGAAAACCACAGAACTGCTGAAGAAGAGGCCAGCCCTGGTTCCATTCAGGACTTCACTGGCTCATCCCTTTGGGGGAGATGAACTTCCGGTATCACCAGGAAGGAGAAAGTTGGGTGTGGTACCCACACATCCAGAGGCTCTCCACCCCTTTCTTCCTGTGGGTCAGATTTATGTGTCCCAAGGAGCAGATGGCTGCCACTCAAAGTAACCCATAGCCCAGAACTCACTGGTCAGTCTGAAAAGAGTCTCAGACAGGAGGGCATGAGGAAGCCAGCCTTGGACAGAGGGTCACGCAGGACTCTCCTCGTGACTTTGACTGTCATTTGCTAGCAACAGGCGCCGTCTAGAGAACAAAGCCTGGTGGGAACACACATTCTCCCTCCTCATCTTTTACCAAGATATCTCCCCATGGTTTGTCTGGGCTGAGCGCCAAGGCCACTTCTCCACCACAAAAGTCCATCTCATAGGACAAATGCCATGCTTGAATGTGTGTGACCAGAACCTTGGGGACCAGGATCCAATTACAGCCCAACTCGAATTCACAAAGCACTTTATAGTTTGCAAAGAAAGTGGAGACTCATTGTTCTCTCAGGGTTTTGTGAGAATTAAATGAGACGAAGAAGCCTCGGGGAGGTGGAGAGATTTGCCAAGTTTCCCACAGCCGGGAGAACATGGGGCCAGCCCCTGAAAGCTCAAAGTCCAGGCCTTCTCCCCGACCTATAACCCTCGGCCTTGCAAACTACAGGGATACCTCGAAGCTAAAATATCCAAAGGAAAAAAAAAAAAAAAGGAGGAGGAAGAAAGGAAAGAAAGATGGGAGAGAGAGAAAGAATAAAGAAACCATTACCACTTAACTCGAATGTTTATAGCCTAAAACAAAAAGCGTTCAAAGTAGAGAAACTAGAGAGATTTCCCTCCACTTTTCTAATCTCATTTGATTTTAAATTCAGAGCCCTCCAGCAAAAAGTTGACTGGGTATCAGTTAAATAAAACAACTGCTCCCCAGCCGGTCGGCTTCTCAGCCGTTGGTACAGCTCAGCATCCCTCTCCTCTGACAAGCCTGGGAACCACAGACACTTCCGATAGAGCACTTTGAACTGCCAGGTTCAAAGTCCTGGGGAAGCCTCAGTGGGGAGACTTTCGAACCACTCATTAGAATGGATTCATTACCCTTTTTCCTTCGCCTATAGATTTGCCTTGATTCGCTGTTCGTGAAGAAATGTATGCCCTCTTTCTAGAACCCTGAGGGACGCCAAGGTCTTTGAAAAAAAAAGGGCTTATCCATTGGCGAGCTTCAGATAACACCTGTGATACATCGCTAAGCTGTTTGTTGCTAAAACTTTCTTGTCTGTGAAGCAAACAGGAGTCGGGCTCCAGGGTCAACTCAGCTGCAAAAAAAAAAAAAACAGTGGGAATCTGAGTAAATGACACCATTTTGTTTGGACCTCATCTGCAGACCGCTGGCTTTAACTTTTCTTGGACATCAGACCCTTTTGAAATTTTGATATAAGACATAATAACCCTTCCTAACCCCCGGAAAAAAAAATATGCACACATTTATAGAGGAAAAAAAACATTCGGCTCTTAATTTCAGAAGCTTCTTGGACCCCACTAGGTCACCTGGGGACCTCTTCCATCCCCCGAGTTAAGAAACTTTCGTCTAAATGATACCTGCGCTCCTTCTCAGCTGCATGAAATGAACTTTAGAAAATTATCTGCGGTTAAGTAAACCCTTCAGCAGATACTGTACTTCTCGTAAGGCTCTTTGCTTCTTTAAAAGCAGTGTGGGGCCCCAGGGTGCGAGTCCAGCAAGCACACAGCTTTTCATAACGAAGACTGATCAGGAATTCTCTTACTATTAACGAAAGGAAGAGAAGGGATGTCTGGAAAGATAAATGGCTACATTTAAAAAGAATAAAGTGAATATTTTCACACTCGCTTTTTTAAACAAAGAAAATTAACAATAGCCTCATCACTTAAACACAACCTCTATTAACATTCTGTCGTATATCTCTTCAAATCCTTTTACACACGCACGCACACACACACACACACACACACCTGCATGTAGATATGTCATAAGCCAAGTTTTATCCTGAACTGTTTATGTAACATTGAGGCATACTTACAGTATAACCTTATCCCATGCTCTACGTAAATACTTACAATACATTTAGAATATTACAATACGTATATGAACACAGCCCCAAAGTTTATGTGATGATCTCTCCTCTCAGGTGGTCACGTAGAAGGTCTCCAGTGTCTTGAAACTATAGCTGACGATACACTGAGCATCTTTGTATGTGGAATGTGGCCCGGATTTTAGGTTGCTTTCTTAGAAAAAGACTCATCAACGGAATCACTGGCATAAAAATAAGAGCGTGTCTAAGTCTCCTGATAGCTATGGTTAGATTGCTTTCGAAGAGTCAGAGCAATTTGTAGGCCCATCAGCAGACTGTATACTTGCCTATCACACCACGCGGAGAGAATTAAATTTTGATTTTTGTTCTGTCTTTTGGAGTATGACTGGTAGTTGTTTTTGTTTTTTTAAATTTCTATACTAATGAAATTTTTCCCTAATTCTACTGACCAATTGCTCTAAAAACATACATAATGTAAAGTTCTCTATCTCCACATTCAATGCCTTTTTTTCTTTTTCTTTTTTATTAATACAGGTCCTGGGAACAGAGAAAGGTGAACTGTTTACATTTGTTTTCAAACCCTGATGCTATTAGGTCAAGTTCTGTTTACAATGTCAGCCCTCTGTTAAAGGGATTGATGGTTGTTACGCCTGGGATGTATGAGCGTGTGTGTGTGTGTGTGTGTGTGTGTGTGTGTGTGTGTGTCAATGAGACCCAATGACTCAGGACCTCACAGTCTGTTTAAGATGCCTGCTGTCTAACGTGGGTGATTTAAGTTAGGGCTGGGCTAGTGTCTTTCTTCAGCCCCAGGCTACTGACGATGAGGAAGCTCACTGTCCCCCCTGCCACTTTGGGAAGACTTGCTGGGCCCCTGCTTGAGAGAAGCTCTCGGTCTATCTTTGCACGCACACATATACCCTCATCTGAGCATGCACCCACACGTGCACACCGATGGTGTCAGTGCTGTGGAAGCATGCGATCCAATGCTCGCTTGCTGGCCGGCAGGATGCTAAGCAGGTAATGACTTCTTCTCCCCTTTGAAATACCGCTCACCATTTATTTAAAATCATGAACTATGAGCAGAGCCGAAGGGCCTGAGCCAAGGTTCAGAGTTAACACAAGCAGCGTAGTCGGAGAAGGTAATAGAGGCCTCCGCCAGCTCACTGCAGCTCGGGCTTGACTTGTTAGACTTGAGCGAGGCCTAATCTGGCTTTGTGGATTCCCAAGGGCCCAGATGGAGGACTGGGGGTCTGTTGGCAATTCTAAATAAATTTAAAACCTAAAGAAAACCGTGCCCTTTGTCGCACGGAAGCTCAACCTTCTAACTGAAGTGTTCAGGCATTGTGGCATCGGCTTCGATGATTGGCAATGCAACAATGTGACATTGTTCAGCTCCCAAGGGGCTCCCAAGATGCTTGGGTGGCTGGCTGTTGATGACACGAAATGCTGTTATAGGCTGTGTGATTAGTGGACCAGTCACTGACTCGTCGCATCTCAAATAATCACATCTTTCAGTCAAAGGTGTCCATTTTGTCACCAATCTTGGACAGAGCACAGAGCAACAACCAGAATTAAGACACGCAGGTGTCTCTATGCTTCCTGAACTTTATTGCTTCCAGCCTCAGCAGGGAGAGTGTTTTGTGGGATTTCGTATCAGAGTAGGATCGTATGCCCTTGGGAATTCCGGGTGGCTGGTTAAGATCTACTCGTGATGAAAAGTAAAATAAAAAGTGGCAACAGCAATGGCATACGTAACGACTAAATAACTCCAGTTCATATGGCTGGTGACACTTCCAAAACCTGAGGATCACAGGGGAAAAACTGAAAAAACGCACGCCCAGCGGTAAGCAGGGGGCGCTGCTGTCCTCACAGACCCCTGGGGCTCTCCTGCCCTATCGCAGGAGGGATGCGGAGATTCAGGGGTGCAGGCCAGCACTGGGCGTCCCCACTCCCCGCATCGCCCAGATAGTTCTTAAGTTCCACTTTTTCGTTTATGCTTTTATGCAACTTTTCATGGAAATGCAGAATCCCACCCTGTCCGCTTCCCCTTCGGGCCCTCCCATACCAAACACCTTCTTTCAGCGTAATGTTCTGTATTTCAAGAAGTTCAATGATGAGTTCCAGATTTGGCATTCTTGAAAATGGTATCGAATATTCAATATTCAAAGCAATTTTTAGAGCCTCAAGGAGCAGCCACTCCCAGAGGCCAGGGTTGCTGCTGAATACGTGCGTTAGAGTGTGTGCTGACCACCAAGGCCCGCCCCTAACCATCGGAGATGACCGGATGAAATCGTAATAGTTTTCATAGGCCCCTAACGGTCTCCATTTTTCTTTTGCAACCTGACCAAATCCTGTGACTCCCTTACACAGCTCCTCATCACCGGACGAAGCCAGAATCATCTCACCTGTCACAAAACCAAAGTGCTCCAGGCATCCCGTTGGCCATTGCCAGGTAAGGAGCTGGGAACCCCTCCCCGGGTCCCAGCTTGGGGGCCGGGTCATGTGTGCTGCGGGATGACAACTTGCCAAGGTCCCTGAGAAACGGGAAGTCTTTGGCCTTTGATAAGGAATCACAGCTGTTCTCGAAGCCGAAAGCATCCTTCTTCCTCTGCTTTGTGAGTGACTGAGTGAGAGAGCAGCGTGAGAGATTCGGACACTGGATTCTAACCAGACAGGACGGACTGGAAGGTCCGCTGACCAAACCAGGAAGAAAAATTGTCCTAACGCGACTCGGCTGACTACCGCCCAGGAAACTTATGGTTACTTTCGAATTGCACTTTGTAGGTGGCCGGGGCTTAAAAATGCCATTATCTGATGAAATACTCACCTGGTCGAGGAGTCGAGAAAGAGTCGAGGAAGCTAACTAAGGCTCAGGCTGGTGGTTCATCAGCCAAGGTCACTGTAAAGTATTGGGGGGGACCGCCTTAAAACACAAGCCAGGGCCACCGAAGTCAGTACTCGTGACCCCGGTCTGACCCGTGGCTCCAGCCTCGGTTCATGCAACTCACCCACTCTCCACTGTCACCTAAGGCATGTGCTACGTCTCTGCCTGTAACACTCGCCCTGTAGTCCCCCTCGTCCCCCGCTCCCTACCTGGAACACTTCTCTCCATCCATCAGACCCCAGCTGAAAGCCGCAGTGAATCCAGGAGGTGGTTGTGACCCATTCTCCAGAGGGAATAAATGAGGCCCAAAGACACTGAGGCCCTCGCCATCGAAGCCAAGTGCAGCTCTACCCTTCGGTGCCCGTGTGGCCTATACTGACTCGATTCTACAAAGGCAGCGCAGGAATCCCGACCCTTTGGCATCTGCCCATTGATTTTTAACAAATAATGATGCTGCCTTTAATTATCCGATAAAGATTTATAGGGAGCGTGCCCCACTTACGGTGGGACAGAGTGGTGGCTGGAGAAAGTCACTAGGATTAGACTGCTCAGTGTCATCACTGGCAACCGACGTGACCTCGGGCAGTGTCGCCCGTCTTACGGGCGAAGCCAAGAGCGGAGCCAGGCCTGTCTCGAGTGTCCCGTAGACGGCAGCCCTCATTGCCATTGCCATTGGCAGGCCCTGTAGGTCAGGGCGCTCTCCGCCCACGCTGCCTTCCCCTCCCCCGCTTCCTTCCCTCGTCCTACTTCACGTCTTCGGGAACCTGGTGGTCACTCCTTGGCCTGTGGGTGTCAGGACTGTGGCTTCTCATCTCTTATCAGGCCGTTTCCTCTTTAAGGCCTAATCAGACACAAAACTCTTCCCCGGGCCCCAAGTCAATACTCTTTCTTGCTGTGCTTTTCTAAAAGGAAAATAAAACCGTCATATTGAGAATGAGCTTTCAGTCAGGCCCACATCTGTAGTAGTTGTTTGACGTGATTTGGCCTCTTTTGCTTAATTTATTGAAAAAAATCTGCTTTTTCTTCTTCTATTAACGGGCTTCTCCTCCTGAGGCCCCTCTGTAGACGCTTTCCCAAGCCGACCTCTAGGCGTTGGGATTCCTGGGGTCCATCTGAGGTCACTGTCTACCACGAAGAGCCGAGGCAATGCCATGCATCCCCCCACCCCACCAGTGTTGAATGTCAACCCTGCACTGATAATTCCTAAATCTCCGTCCTCGTCCCCAGCCACCCTTCACAGCCCCAGACCTATATATCCCACTAGCCGTTTTCCTTAAAGAGGCGACAAACGTCTCAAACTCAATGTTGGGAACCGAACTGTTCACATCTACTTTCATCCCCCAAATGACACTACCCTCGGGAAATGGCGAGCTCTCGTTCCCATCGTCACCCTCCCCACCCAATCTGTTTCCAACTCCCAAAATTCTCCGTCTGAAACATGCCTCGAATCTCTTCGCTTTCCCAGCTTCCAACATCCACCGGCCACCACCGACCTCACCTGGCCTATTGCAACAGCTGCCTAATGATACTTATCTCCATGCCCGACCTTTCACGCAGAAGAAACTGTTTTCCGGTCTCTGGCAGAACAAGCCATGTTTTTGGCCTCTGAGCCTTTGTCCTGCTGCTCCCCCCGCCTCGCTCCTCACCCGTGTCCGGTTCTCCTTTCAGAGGTCAGCTCAGTTAGGGTGTTTCCCAGGAAGGTTTTCCGAAGATTCAGAGCAATTAGTCCTGGGTTATGGGAGCTTCTGCTACCACAGGACCTTCTGCTGGGCACACACCTGTCATAGTATTTATCTCACATTGTGATTATGATACAGGGATGTCTTCTCTCTGTAAGTAAGTGCTTTCAGGCAGAGGTCATGTCTTATACTTCATTTTATATTCCCCAAAACATACCAAGTACCCAGTAAGTACTCAACATGTGTTTGTAAAATAAAAGAATCACCGTTTTTATTTTATTTTGTGAGGTTTTTTTTTTTTTTTTTTTTTGCTTCAATCTTTATAAATTCTGTGCTTAAGAGCTGAATATCCTCAGAGGATATTCCTATTCTCGTAACATTTTCTAAAAATCTTGACAATTTAAGGCAGAGAAGTTTTGCTATTCGGGATTTTTTTATCCAGATGTTTATCAAAACCGTATACTGGTTCCTAGTAACGAGATCCTGGTTTTAACACACCCAGAGTCTTGGATGTCAACAGAAGTATGTCGAGGGACAATCACAGTATGGTGGTTGAACGATCTGCCAGCATTTTGATGTGCAAAGCAAGCCACGAGCCAGCTCCCATGCAGATGACAAAAGCCAGATATACGCTCAGTTGACTTCACCAGTGCTAGAAAGGGCTTGCTTAGAACTAAGCTTAGGTCGCATTCCATTAACCCAGAGGCTCTGGTCGACATCACAATCCCTGGTACAGAATGTGAGCCAGGTAATTAGATTTAACCGTAGTAGCACTTAAAACTTACAACGACAGTGCGACCACAACACGAGATGAACCAGAAAATTAGAGCGGCCGTCAAATAAAGCCAAACGTTAAGCAAAGCGCTAACTAGAGTCATCGGTAAAAGTCTTGGCAACATCATCATTGTGCTTAGAAATGCGTATTGGGATGTTTATTGTCTTTTATCATAGTTTTCACAATCTCTTTTGCTTTATGGATTTTCTTTCCATAATCTACACAGTTTTCTCACCTAGCTCACTGGCCATGGCTCACTCTCTCGACTGGTACGTAACCGCTATGGAACGGAAGGCCCGACCAGGCACAGATCATTTTCTATAGTGTCTAAATTCATGACTTTCAGTTGTAAAAAATCATGATATATGCTCACCCAAATGACATGGAAAGAACTCATGTGAGTCAGTTTGTTCCATATCTGATGTTCATCTGTGTTGGGAAGGGAGAGAAAGACCTGCCTCTTCTTGCCTTGCAAAACAGACACTTCTTCTAGCTCATCCAGTAAGACATAAAGTGCTTGACAAATGTGACTCAGGCCATTACCGATGACCACGCCTCTGAGTGGAATTATACCCAGAATGGGAAATACTAACGTTCTTCCAATTCTCACATTTCCTTCAGCTCTTCATTCATGACGAACAACCACGGCATGCAAAACCGAGGTAAGAACACTTTACCTAAGAAAAGAAACAGGTAAATCATCACACCACAATACTCCTGCTGTGTGACAGCTTTTGTAAACCCCAGAGTTGCTGAGATGATGTGTATAAATGTAATTGGCTTGCTTTCACTGATAGATACCATTCCATTGCGTTAATAGAACAATATTTATCCATAAGTAAATATAATCACTTAGATAATTTCCAGTTTTTTCCTTCTTATGAACATTATATTATGAACAATTTTGTAGATATCTTCCCATATACATAATGCGTACATGTTTTCCCATGTGCAAGTATAAGTTCCCTAAGAGTAAAAGCTCTAGGTCTTAGGCTATTCCTCTCTTCACTTACACTAGATGGATTTTCCAAAGTAAGGATATCATTTAGTTTCGCCAACTACTTAGGAGTCCCCCTTACTCCCCAACCTCATCAACAGTTGTTTTGGACAAAACTTATAGCTTTTGAGAATCTATTTGGGCGTAAAATAGATTTCTCTTAAGACTGTGAAATGGAGAAAATAAAACCAACCTCTCTTACTAATTGTAAAGCAAAAGTCAAAAGGACGCCATATCCGTAGAGCTATCTAGAGCAGCATGTAAATATAGAGTTCGTTTCTATTGGTGTTGGAATTTGATATGATTAGTATTATGTTGCCCAAACCAGATCTGTCGTGTTCACCTGTCTGTCTTCTCTCTACATGCTGTGGGGTCCAGGACAAACTCAGTCTCTCTCCGCTGTGCCATAGGGAGCTTAGGGCTAGAGGAAGCAGACTCCAGCAAGTAGAGTGGAAAGACCGGGGGCTCTGCTGACCTTGGTTCCAATTCTGCCCCTGTCCCTACAACAGCGTCACCTTGAACGAGTTAATTTTAGGAACTTCAACCTCCTCCATCCATAAAACTCAAATAATGTTAACTCACAGGGTTAATGCGCACACACGCACACACATACACACACACGCCGCCCTCTGCTAGACACATAGTAGACAACTGACACATTTTAATGTTGTTCTTTTTCCTGCATTCCCTTTCCTTCTCGGGGGATTCATTGCCCAGTTGAACCCGTTAGATCAACAGTTTCCTCCATGGCCTCCATCAAGTTTTTATATTGGATAAGCTAATATGGGAAACACATTTCCCCTGATGTACACTTTGCGAATAAGAGGTTCCCAAGGGAGGACTAGCTTTTTAAAGGAAGGTGGCCAAAGGGGAGTGTGATTAACCTCATGTGTTCAGTCCCTGGGACTCGAATGTCAGGAACGGTCGTCCTGGAGGCCAGATCTCAGTGTGTGAAGATGGAAAGACTGGAGCATCCAGATGGGAGGTCCAGGGGATGAACAGGCCCAACAGGGCACGACTCAGTGGGCTTTTAAGACCATGTTGTGAGGATGGGGACACAGAATAGTAGCCTAAAGAGGAACCCAGGGTCTTGAAAGACAACATCTCGCACGAATAAGAACTAAAGAGCCACGGAGGAATGTGACGTGGGTGGCCTGCACTGACGTGCGTCCAGGCCAGCAACCTAGGGCTGGGCGTAGATCATGCATACGGGGTCTTGAAGGTTGTTCTCTGCACATCTCAGAGGTCACGAGGTTGCTTAAAGAAACAGCCTGGGATGGATGACGGAAGTGTCCAGGCCTCCAGAGAACTGCAAACACCACTAATTCTTCCTGCAGTCAACAAATAGCCACCAAACACATGGTTTATACCCAAAATTGAGCCGAGCCCTACGAATGCAGAACAGAGACAACACAGTCCCTCAACCAACCACAGGTTAAGCACCACGATGCCCCTCCATCAGCTTACTGAACAACTGTCATTCTACTAGGTGAAAATGCATCTCGGAATCACAGTTCTTGGAAGAAATTAAGTGCACAAAAATCAGTGGCTCTCGCAGAGTTCTCAGTCTGGCGGGCTCTCTAACGCTTATTGGTTTTCATGTGAATGCGTCAGGTGATGCAGGCAGCCCTCACCATGTAGAATGGTGACACCTACATCTCTGTCGATGTAGATATTACCATCTTTATTCTACGAGTGAGAAAAGATTTTGGAAATGTTCGCTTATTCTTGACAGTTCGACTGCTCCTTGATAGACAGCCTTCTCTCAATTCCTTGATAAATGAATTCAAGCTAAGCTGTCAGGAGCCTAAGCAGCTAGCTCTCAGGACAAATATCCAGAGAGAGAAATTTTAGAAGAATATCCAGGCAGTTTGGTTATCCAAAATAGTGTGACGTTACTCTACAAGTCTGGGATGGTGGATGATTTGTTTTCTTTGTGGTTTTTAGTGTCTCTTCACTAATGTTTTCTTTTTCTCTCTGTATTTTGTTCTTTAAAATTTATGGCTTTTTTTTTCTTATAAGGTTATTTTTTAAATTGCCTGTAGGGTAAATTAAAACGTGCTAATTAATAGGAATAGATACTTAAAATAAGATGCTTTTATTATCAGTTACAAAAGAAAGATCTAAGCTGCGTCTCTATAATTAATTATGTTAATGCCGGCAGTAGCATTTATTGAATGACTAATACGTGCCAGGCGCTGTGCTAAAAACTTCACACAAGAATTTTGAAATATTAGCAATTATTGATTTCGGTATGATCTTACAAGCCATACCATTGTTATTAGGCTGTCCTGCCTCAAATTTTATTGACCACCTAAGTTCCTCCACTAGTCTATGTCAATCTCCGCATTGCTGTAACCCTCTGTTCTCCAAGTAGGAGGAGAGTCATCTTTCATGGGGGTATAAAACGCAATCGCAACCTCTTATGTAAAGAAAACTTTCCAAAGATTACCTGCCCTTATTTAAAAACAAAATCAAATAATACTTACAGTGGATTATAAACACGGAGTGTTCTTTATTCATTAAGCAGAGACCCAACCAGGCCTTTGGGGGAAAATTGCGTGGCCAAGTTGTTCCTTCGTTTTGTTTAACTCATTCTCTGAATAGACTACGAATGCATATAGCTGTTTTCCAATGCTCTCTCTCAAGTAGGGCTTTTTAAATATTCAAGCAAGGCACTCGGAGATCAAATATAATAAATCAGTTGCCACGATAGAATGAAAAATTCATAATTGCTGAAGACTATTGTGTACATGGATAGGAAATGTTGATAATGGTTATTTTCTTCTCTCGAGTGTGTTCTTATTGTTTCAATCCATGTTAAAAAGATAGGAGTGGCCATTTCAATAAGTCTCTGTGTACTGCTTCGCTATAATTTAAAGTTTTTAAGTCTTTTTTTTTTTTAATAGCTCTTTTAGCTTTCTCTTGGCTAGAATTAGCCTGGCATACAGTTCTCCATCTTTTGTTAGTGATCTCTCTGTGTCATTTTATTTTAGGTGTGTAATTAGCACACAACTGGAAGGTTTAAACCAATCTGCATCTGCTTTTTAAATGCTAAGCTTACACCTTTGATGTTAACTGTGATTACTAATATTTTTTATTTGCTTTTATATTAGTTTGTGCCTCCTATTTGTCTTGCTTTTTACTGACTTTTGGCTTCTTTTCCTGCAGATACTGGGTTCGTTTCTTCTTTATTCTTTTTTCTTTCTTGGAATTTATACTATTCTCCTGTTGGTTTTAATTTTAAATAAAAGCATGCTTGAATTTTAAAACTCTAAAGTTCACATCATCTTCCCAAACAATACAGGAAACATTTCAAATAAAAATTTAAAAGGAGTGATGTCTTTAGAACTATTCCTCATTTTAAAGTCTTAAACTAGTAGGTGAAATTAACTTACTATGATGAATACAATTTAAGCTTTAAGTGATCGAATGGTTCTCTACGACAAACATTTTAATAGGCATAATTCCCTATAACAACATTCTTAGGCTTGATGTTAGAAGCCACAACCCTTGGAACCACTAAAATAGAACTTTCAATGTTTTAGGAGCACTGTTTCTTCTTCTTAGTAAACCTAGAGAGATACGTGGCTTTTTGATAAACAGAAGCAGAATAAATGTGCACATACCTAAGTGTTATAGTAACTAGGACGTAAATATTTCCTAACGTTTTATATAGTATTCTGCTTCAAAAGGTACTGTGTCGAAAGCATCCTATTCTTAGTTCTTGTCAAGCTATTAACCAAGACTATAACTTTGGTTATATTTTCTAGAGTAAATTAAGACTTTATAGCTTGTGATTCTGCCTGCGCACTAATCACCCCTCTTCCATTTTATGTTATTGTCCAGTGTTTGATTTTGTTTTCCTACCCTCGAGGCTTTATAAATTTTTTACAGTTATTCCGTGCTTTAAATTACTAAATTATTTATAAATATTTTTGTTTACTATCCCTCCTAATGCCTTCTTCCCTGTGGCCTTAATTTCCTAGAATTCGACTTTAATTAGCATTTATTGGAATGAAATGGCATGCAGTAGAAATATGTTATTTTCATCGAAGTATATAGAAAAAAGACCACATCCAAACTTGACAAGTGGTAGTATCCTAAAGCTTAGGTACCATGTGAAATGACTACTTTAAAATCTATTGTTCTATCTTCTCTTTTAAAGAATCTTTTACCCAGGCATGATTTTGTAGCATTAGTCACTTGGAAAATAATGATTCGCAGACCTGAGCAGATCTTTCCAACGTTGACGTATTTCATTACAAAATATTTTTTAAATCACGTTTCTAAGTCCTACCAACGATCTCATCAGAAAAGTCTAACCATTGGGATGCTGTTACGTCAAGATGGCAGACGCGAGTTTTCCCAAATTCCGATCTGCGTTTGAAAAGTCTAACTTTATAACGGGCAACAAATACTGCCAGTTGTTTTCCAGGAAGTAACAGGCTCACTATCTACCAAATGCCTAAGTCTGAATAACCATAGTTGGTCAGTCATTTTTCAGGTTAAAAGTGTGATATTCCATTAAAACAAAATGTTATTCTTTCAAGTTAAAAAAAAATAGTGTTTCCTGAGTTGGGAACAAGCTTGGCTTGTTTAAGAAACTGAACAAAGTTCATTATGGCCAGAAAAAAATGAACTATGGGGCATAGGGGCTAGGTGGATGGGTAGATGGAT